AAGACCTCGCACTGCAAAAGCAAACCCTTAATGTTTGCCTCATTGAAACTTCCCATTTGTATACGGGGGCTGGTCGGGTAAAAAGCGTACCATTGTGGCCAACATCTGCTCCCCTCTAACTGCATGCTACGTCATCACTCCGGGGGTATTTGCATGATGTTTCCCCCCTCCCCCTGCCACCCGTGGTGCATATTGCAACGCCTGCAACGCTTGGGAGGTGCAACGGTGTAAACTAACGTTACATGAGAAACATAATCTATTGGTTAGTTATAAGATAACCTGGGTAGCTAAGTTATGGTACTCGCCTCAGTAAGCAAAAGGTAGCAGATTCGATCCTGGAAAAAATTCAGTAACTGTTTGATGGTTCGAAACTGACCCTACTGACCTCATAATTTATGGTTCCAGTTGATCAGAGCCAGTAGTCGTCATCTAATTTACTCAACACTGATATTTTCACCAAGGTACCCTGATGTGCCACTGTTGTAAAAATATAATCTGATCCAATTAGGTCTAATGAATTAACTGTTCTTTAGAATGACTATAGTTCCCAAAATACTGGGAGAGTCTCCAAACATACGGCTATTTATGTTTAGCACGGTATCTGTATGGGTCCACACATTTCCTTGTAAAGAACGAGAAAATGGAACTAGTAAAAAAGATGGTGCACAAATCACAGGCTAAAAATGTGTTATTGATGTATCAGAAACTACGACATATGAATAACTCTAAAAAGGGGACTTTGCCTAAAACCATTCCAATCATAAAGATGAAGCCTTGTTTGTACATGGCCGTAATTTTTAATAAAGTTATATACTTTAAAATGCCAGGTTGAAAATCGGTGTAAGAAGAAACGACAATAGTTATTCATTATCGACAGAATCTCTGTCGTTAAGGTAAATTATTATCTTCCATATATTATTTCTGTATTTCTGTGTAAATCAAAGTTTTCCAAAGTTTTTCTCCCATGCGGAAAAGGTTAATAATTCATTACCTTCAAACAGTCTGCAGAATTTAAATGAATAAATTTATAATTTTCTTCAGTGGAAACAAAACTAAATCAATGGAGGAATATTAAAATTCGGAGAATTCCTGATAACCACTGTGGAAGAGAAGGAAACATTTCTGGGTCTGTGATTATTTAGTAAATGCTTCGTGTTGTTTCCTTTATTGCCACAAATTATAGCCGCGTATTTTATCAGATCTGTTCTAACAATACCAGTAGCACAGATCTTCCGTTTTTTTTTTTAATTCACTAAACAAATGAATTGATTACCTAACGAAGAAGTTGTAGTATGAATGGGCACGTGTCTATTAGCACGTATAGCATCTTATCTTTACGAAATTTGGTAAAATTGTACGTTTATTTGAACAAGTTCGCTCAGGATGATCGGACTATGGAAACAGTGTTTTAGGTTTAAATCTATGAAACGAAACTTTATAGTCAATGACAGTTTCACTTCACTAGTTTCAACAACTGTTTGCTAACAATATTGGAAAAATGTTCCATGAAGCCCTAAAGTTCTGCAATGTTTGCGCTGAAGCAGCGAAAGTAAAAGCGTTTTACGATCTCGCCAGGAGCAACGGTTTTATAGGCGTTCAAGGCCTTAAAGGCAATGATAAAGACAATAAATTCCATGTAACAGTGTTAGTCTTCTCAGACTCACCAATATAATCAATACAGTTTATGTCACCGAACTGCTTATCACACCAGTTTGTTCCTTCGTTAATTTTATCGTTTAATCACTTGTTTTCAACGCCATTGGATAATTGTTACGTTCTTATGAAGCTACTGTAGAAACCCTTTGGTTAAAATATATTAGATCATGGAGTTTTATGTAAAGTCTCCTTTGGTCAAATTGGTGTGCGAGTTTTGCTTTAGTATGGGGTGACTGCACTCCGAAGGGTGTTTTTGGCTTCCCCTTCCCCTAAACAGTTTTTTTTGCATAGTTTGCTTTTATATTTGCCATGTGTTTGTTTTGGTACGTGTTTTCTTTTGCTGTGTGCTTATTTTTTATGCTACATATACATAGTTTACGTAAAATAAATATTTTAATTTCTTTAAGTTATTTTCCAGTGAAACCCAGGAAGTACATGTTTAGCATTTGCAACTTTTCATAGTTGTTTTAGCATTGTAATAGTACATATAGATTTTTCTGTTTTTTTTTTTTTTTATTATTGTTGGACCCTGGTCGTCTCAGACTTGTGCACAATAATTCGGAAAATTTAGTTTTGCATTGCATTAACTCATAGGAAATCGTTTGGTTTTGCCTTTTATCGACTCGTAGAAGCACTTCTATAATGTTTCTGAGGCACCTAATGATTTACTCTAGCAATTATGGTAGTATACACAGATCACTCAAGATAAGGTTAAACATCCTTTTGATTAATTCAGAGATCGAGGGGATTATGCATAATGAGAACCCAACAAATATGTTTGGAAGGAACCTCATATTTTATACATTATCTTATCTCGACATTCCCAAGTGGCTACTTGTTTTATTTACCAAATGACAGTTCCATGTCGTGCACGAGTCATGCGCACAAGTAGTCCCTGATAACAGCTGATTGGGCGATACGAGGCAGGTGGTTTGCGCAGGTGCAGACGACCTAACCTCAAAATTAAAGAGCATCTGCTTCCTACTCACCGGCCAACGAACTTGAGCTTTCCATTAGCAGGTTTGTAACCTTGATTGTGGATTTTCCTTGTACATGGCCAGGAGATAAGATACGTCGAGAATAGGAAATAAACATTTTGAGCAAGAGGAAACAGTTAATCAATAACGTATTGTAGCCAACAGTTAACCTTTCAACCTTTTTCTCTACAATATATTATTTATAGAATAGTAGAAATACTACTGACTGTTCAAATGAACGATTGTTCAACCGGTATGCGTTCTTTACACATAATAATGACGTCAATTGGTTGTTGGCTGTGGGTTGATTGCTTGTTGGTTGTTGGGCTGTTGGTTGTCTGGCTGACGGTTGTTTGGCTGTTGGATGTCCAGGGCCGAACTTACCTAGGGGCGGACGGGGCGAGCGCCCGGGGCCCCCGGGCCTAGGAGGGCCCCGAAGGGGCCCCTTGCACAGTAGTTTTTATTAATATCTTCGAAAATTAATCAGACACTTACCGAATGATCTTCTTTTTTAACAGCTTTATTGTCGTTATCTTATATTTAAGGTTATTGTTAGATGAACTTTAAGGTATTACTAGGACCAAAATTCTTGACTCTAAGGGACTTTTCCTCAGGGTTGCACTGGGCCCCGCGCTTAGACCCAGTTTACACGAGCATAGCTGCTAGGCTGTGACGGACCAGTTTGAGCTTCAATGAAGCCGTTCACACAAACCTACGGCCGTGGTGATCAAGTTGAAGGGGGCCCCTTCGCTTGGGGCAAAAAATACAATAAATAATATGAAAACTCTTGTCCTAACGTAGAACGTAACTTGTACAATTGTGTTGGGGTTAAATGGAGATTCAATTGAGATCTAATACTTTTGAAAAATAAAAACATTGTTTGAAAAATCTGTTTTATTAGATGTTATTCTTTTACCTTTAAGTATATGCCATTCACGATTTTAAGGGGCAGAAGTATTATATTACTCATTCAATTAAAAGGTTTTATAAAATAGTAATTAAGTTATACGTCGAAATTCGGATCTTCAATTTAGTCGATCAAAATCAAAATCAAAGAGTCAAAATCATACAGCGCCAGTAGGATAAAAAATCTATATAGACATTTTATGACAACTAGGGTCGTCTGATGTTAACAAAAATTACATTATTTGGGAGCGGGCGAGCGTTGTCGACTGTAATCGTAAAAAAGCGCTCAACAAGCAGCTGCAACAATTAATGATAATGAGCTGATAAGGGATCCTGTCTAGTCTTGTATGTCTCACGCACGCGCATACACATACATACAATGCCTTATCGCCAATCCAAAACAATTTAAATCACTCCCAGTGTGTTTTTGGTTGACATTATCATACATTTGTGTTGTATTTTATTATTAATTCTGCAAACACTACAAAGAACAAATTAATGTTGTATTGAATGTTATGTTTGTGTTGTATTAATTTATATTGAATACATTTAAACATCTTTCAGTTCACTCATATAAATGGTTAGCTTGTGATTGGTTATTAGACTTGTATTGTAACATTTTACTCGTCAAGAAAAAAACTCAAACTCGTAAAAGTTCTTAATGGTACTTTTCATGCTAGGACTTTTAACATATTATACAAACGAGAATTCCATGCCAAAACCACTATGAAAATAAACATAAGTCATAGTTTATGATTTTATAGTTTTAGTGCAGCCAAGAAATGTAGGAAAAGCAGGAGGTTTTAATTGCCATGCCAACGTGACCAACGTATCAGAGTAGGAAGTGACATTTATTTATAGGGAAAATAACTATGTTCTAAACTTTATAATGATTAATCTATAAAAAGTAAACTTTAAAATTGTTTTGACTTGTATCTTATAAACTTAGTACAGTAAAAGGTTTGTTAGTAAAATTATAGTAAGTTATAAAATATATTAAAGCTTTAAAAGTTTATGCATTATCTCTGACTTACATCACGTGTTTAAATATAACTTATTCCATTAATTAATGTTAGTTATTTTTCATTTGAGTTTTCATTCAAGCACCAAATAGAATGTGTATTACAGTAAATAAATTAAATTAAACCTTTTACAAGTACGTGTTATTTTATTTTTATTTTATCTATAGTTTTCATTATTTGTTGCAAAGGATATTACATTTTAATGTATTGCAAAAAATGTGTAAGGTACCTGCTAGGTATATTACAATTTTATAAATACAATAATTACAACAAGAACAAATCATAAAATAACACCGTACATTGTAGCTATTTTCAGACTTAAAATATTACATACAATTAGTTTATGCAAAATACAGCATTCCAACAGGTTTACATATTAATTCACCTTGAAATTAGCTATTTGAAATTAGTGTGCATGTAAATGCGTTACATTGTGTACCGTATATGTTCTCGTATAATCATACTGGGGGCCCCATCGGGAAATTCGCCCGGGGCCTCTGAAGTCCTAAGTCCGGCCCTGTGGATGTCTGGCTGTTGCTGTTGGTAGTTTGGGTGGTGGTTGTTAGTTGTAGGCTGTTGGTTGTTTGGCTGTTGGTTGTCTGGCTGACGGTTGTTTGGCTGTTGGTTGTTTGACCGTTTGGCTGTTTGTTTGTTGGTTTTTGGATGTTGGTTGTTCGGCTGTTGGTTGTTCGGCTGTTGGTTGTTTGGCTGTTGGTTGTTTGGCCGTTTAGCTGTTTGTTTGTTGGTTGTTGGATGTTGGTTGTTCGGCTGTTGGTTGTCTGGCTGTTGGCTGTCTGGCTGACGGTTGTTTGGCTGTTGGTTGTTTGACCGTTTAGCTGTTTGTTTGTTGGTTTTTGGATGTTGGTTGTTCGGCTGTTGGTTGTTTGGCTGTTGGTTGTTTGGCTGTTGGTTGTTTGACCGTTTGGCTGTTTGTTTGTTGGTTTTTGGATGTTGTTTGTTCGGCTGTTGGTTGTTCGGCTGACGGTTGTTTGGCTGTTGGTTGTTTGACCGTTTGGCTGTTTGTTTGTTTGTTTTTGGATGTTGGTTGTTCGGCTGTTGGTTGTTCGGCTGACGGTTGTTTGGCTGTTGGTTGTTTGACCGTCTAGCTGTTTGTTTGTTGGTTTTTGGATGTTGGTTGTTCGGCTGTTGGTTGTCTGGCTGACGGTTGTTTGCCTGTTGGTTGTTTGACCGTTTGGCTGTTTGTTTGTTGGTTGTTGGATGTTGGTTGTTCGGCTGTTGGTTGTCTGGCTGTTGGCTGTTTGGCGAGGCCCGCAGACGTCAACATTAAACTGTCTGAAGATAATTGGATGAAGAACACTAGACCCACATACATGTGGCAGTCGTTATCCCGGTAAAAAACTGATACGAATTTGCGTCATCATTTTTTTGGCAGGTGAAATTGGTTCGTTGACCTTTTAAATCGTTCGCGAAAGTGTTTTTATATAGACACACGATGTTATGGATGTTTCCTACCATACTAAAGCATATTAAGCAGGAACGTAACTGCAGTAGTTTCCACAGAGAAGAATAAATTGAAGTAATTAAATACTCGAAACAAAATTAAATAAGTAAGGTACACCAAATATCTGTTATTTGCCAAAGCAATAGAAGTTATCAATCACAATTCTTATTATATTATAATACAATTGTGTAATACGAAGTTACTAAGATAGTAAGAGGTTTTAGTTTACTAATAAACTTATTTCAACTTCTAAAGGTACAACAGCACACTTTCTTGGATGTATGTAATGAGGACAGATTTTTAAAATCTGGTAGATATCATCTAGGGGACAAAGTTTTATACCGTAATACGAATACAAACACCACCTAATTTAGCAAATGTTTAACTAGACGTTTTAGTTTACTACATTCAAAATTGGTTTACAAGACCATCCACATATTGAATCGTCCTAGTAAAAAATCCAAAATCTTGCTTTAGGCTTTTTCTAGGAGGGAAATGATCTGAGGGGAAGGATTTTGTCAAAATTCTCAGTTAAGCCCATATCAGTCAAAATTGACAAGCTGATCCTTAACTCCCGGGGGACCGGGGGGGGGAGGGGGGGTTGTGTCGTAAGCTGTATCGAACACTCTATTTATTCTACTCGACATCTTACATTTATCCTCAGTATTTGTAGAAGTATAGCAATTTGTCCTTAAGTGATTTGAGTGTGAAGAGTGTTTTTCATATTTCCAAATGTTTTCTAACACCGATTCTTGGTGAAAACCAAATGAGAACATTGTGGTTAACATGTCCATGGTTAGATATAAAATATTTTGTCCATTTAGATTTATTTGTTTTTCACATCATTGTTGGTGGATAGCATAGTTCTTGTATTTTGCTATTCCAGATTTAACACGTCATTTATGTGATTTGATGTTACCTGACTAGAAATTATTTCAGTTAAATGAAATATCATACGAGATATTATTCTTATGTTCACACAGGATAAATTGTGATATTCTAATATCCGTTCCACAATAATCTATGATCTATTTTTTCGTGACTTTTGCGATTGGTCATGAGTAGTTGTTCCTATGGTCGACATGAACATTTTTAAGTCCAATCTGTGACAAAATAAGTTAGTAAGTGCGATAACATTACACATTATAATGTACTACCTTACTCAGTTTGGAGTGCGATAAGATATAACCCCAATAGGTATGACATATAATTTCTGCGGCCTCAGTTTTCCAATGCGCAATGCGCGATATCTGGAGCATTTCTGTGCGATACACACGTGATATCTGAGGCGTGTCTGTGCGATACACACGTGATATGCGATGCGTTTCTGTGCGATACACACGTGATATCTGAAGCATTTCTGTGCGATACACACGTGATATGCGTTGCGTTTCCAGCGAGTCTCTGGAGAGTAAACTTGGCAACCTCGCTCAGCCTCCCGCTGAGAACTTTTTAGTTAGGGTTTCTGACGAGTCCTGTAAAATTAGAGAGGGGAACTAATGCGTCCCCGCCGCTTCAGCCCAGAGCCGATGTGACATATGGATTTTTCGTTTAAAAGCCCAACTCAATGATAGATTGATGGTTTCGAGTTTCACATGTCTTTGGCGTTTTGGAAACCGATTTTGGTGTAAAATTAAGTGTTGCTCTCGTGGATGTAATCACAATTTTTATATTTGTTTAAAATATTAACGGTAAAACAAAAGAGTCAAAAATATGTTTAGATTGTTAGTTGGGAATTTGTAACAAGAGTTTTGTAAGTGGTCTATGGACTGTCTACTGATCTCAAAATCATATTGACACATATGATGCAAAAAACTTACAACTGAAACAATGTAATATTTGATATAGTATGACTTGTAGACATTGTTGACATTGTCAAGAAAAGCCAACACATAAAACGTTCTCTCAATTGACAATAGGAGTTATAATAGCCGCAATTGGTAAATTAATTTTGGTTTTATATTTGGTGTTCTTCCGGTGAAGTAGGGTAGTCAACTCAAAATACTCTAAGTTCAATTAGATCATTACTGGTTAATCCTTGAATTCATGAGACTATAACTCTTAAGTCTAATGTAAAATCAACAAGTCCTGCCATTGCCACTGAGTGTGTGACTATATTTGTTTAATTTTACCAGCAAAATACGATTTGCAATACTGTATATGCATTAATAGGGGGAAGAGTTCCCTTCACAGCAAACCTGTATCCTTAAAGTTCCAGTAGGATTGAATTTGTTTAAAACCTTACAAATACGTCCACACTGTATATGAATTACACATTACTTTTTAGCGGTTTACAAGCTACTACAGTTTGAAGTAGACAAATCTTTTAAGATACATTAACAATCGATCTACATTAAGTCTATTATAGGATAATTTGGACGACAACATACTGCGTTTAGAACCAATCTAAGTAATTATTTTTGTTATTTTTTAAGCGTAATTCAGTGCAAAAAATTATATATTTACCTATTTAGGTTAAAACCTCTTCTAATTTTAAATTTCGTGGTACGTGCCATATTTCCTACGATTTCCTTGCCAGAATGAACTGCTTTGCTAATTCAAATAAATATTGTTGTTCAAGCTACTCTGTATATTTATTGATCAATAGTGTATGACTAAACACAAATATGTATAGTATTCTCTCCCAACTAAGGTATTTCTGTTTTTTCTTCTTTAATTTTTATTTAATGTAGAAAACAATTTTTTTATAAAGCCTACAGTGGACTTTTCAGAAGACTTCTTTTTACAGTTCCACATACCAAGGATCCAGCAGTAAAGACGGGAGACCCTTCAGTTTAATTGCAGAAGGGTCCATTGTTGACGTAAACTTTGACAGGGTCACGTCTGGCTGTAGAAACCCCTGCAATCTACAGCCTAAGCACTAATTTGCCCTTTGAATCGAATAATTACTTAACTTTATTAGGGGGAAGACATTTTTCCTTTAACTTTATTCGATGGCAAGACTTTTTATCACAGCATAAAAGAGTGTGTGCATATTTCGAGGCTATTGGTGATACATTCTATAAGCTTATAAATAGGAATGTTAACTTTTCCATATAAATCGTACACACTATCTGATGTTCATTGATAATATTCTTACTTTGCTAATGGTGTAAAATGTTAATTTAAAATTTGGACGATATAGTTCAACTACTTGGTGAAAGTGTTATAAAACAAATAAAAACATATTCGTGCAATTTTTTCGACCAAAATTATATAAGAGTGATGTATTCTTTACTTAGCGTGAAATAATGGTTTCAGTAGTGCTTTGGACTAACAATTGATGGCATCATCGCATTGGTGATCAAACGGATTTGAACCCAGGACTCGAGAACCGAATTCCCGCGTTTGACCAACGTTCCATACAAAATTTGTCTTAAACGGTTTAAATGTTAAGACCCTACTTTAAAAACATTCTGTTAACACTCTCAGAAATTACAGCTTGTAAGTAGATTATATAAGTGAGTGTTAAAAAAGCTAGCCTTTATATTAAACGTGCCTGGTTTAATCCCGTAATTTCTTGAAACAATCCTTGTAAAAACTTCATTCAAAATTTAAAAAAAATTGGTTTACAATAGTATTTTCCCCTTCATTATATTTGCAAAAATTACTAAAACATACCCCTAAAAATTCAAAAATCAATTAGGTTTAGGACTACACTCGATTTTTAAAATATTAAAAACTATAGACTTCAACAAAATAAATGTTACAGAAATCAAAAAAAAGCTCTTTACCTGGGTCGGTTTATTCTACACAGGTCCATCATACGTTTATTTTCCTCAATTACATTTCGATACAGTTTAACTTTAATGGCCTCGCGGTATTGGTGGTTTACGCTGAATTGGCTTCAAAATTGCCTCCAATATTTGAATTGCACTTCATTTCCAAACCGATCAATATAATAACACTTTACTTCTATTGCGATAGCTTGTTTGATTTAGCAAGTTGCTCTAAAAACTACAACGGTATAGTCTACAACCCTCTCACCAGTGCCAACTACCATTACACTTTTTGTGATTGTGATCGGTGTCAAAATGTATAATTTATTTTCATTTTAGTTATACTTTTTGTTTGAATCGTATTTTATTAGTTGTAAAATAATAGCTAAATGTAAATGTATAGTACGTATTGAAATAATTACTAAGCAATCAATATATAGTTCCTAATAGTTATTACGTTTTAATAGCATTGCATTGCAAATCATCTGCCCACTAAGTGACTTTATGAAACTATTTTCAAACAGTGTTGTTCTAAATATAAATCGCTATTGACTCGATGTAGAATAAAAACAGGGGAACGGTTTAAATGGAGTGGGGTTAATCGGTCTAGAAACGGATGTAGCCTAGGTAATTCTAAATTCTATCAATTTGCTGAAAAGATATTCCTGTGATAAGGATGTTTACATATGGCTTATGTGAAATCATGGTTACTATCAACATTAATAATTATTGTTAATTTAGGGACAATCTCGTAATTCTCACGTGAAAAGATTGTCTCACCGTAAACCACAAATATACAATCATAATTATATGAGACATATGGATAGAAGATGTATTTTACTATTGTATAATTGAAAAAATACAATGCAAATTATTAGGTATGATAATACAATTCATCTTATAGGACCTAAAGGCCGATTTTTACGTAAACCCCCTTTTTGGTAGTGTAACTAACTTTATGATCGGTCTTACACCACGCTTTTTATCACGACTAAAATTTTACAATTTTGACCTAAAATGACCAGTACCCCATAATCACTGTTTTTCATTCAAACAGCTGCTGCAGAGGTAGCT